AAAGCCTCACCAACGGGATGAACGAAATGGAAAACAGAGTATCAAGACTGGAAGATAAAGTGGACGAACTAGACCACTCGAGCAAAGATCATAAAAAATTTAAGAAATCACAAGAATGGAATATGCAGGAATTGTGTGACACCATGAAAACACCAAACTTATCATCATAGGCACACAAGAAGGAGAAGAATCCCAAGATAATGATTGCATGGACGAGATCCTCAACAGAATCGTAGAAGAAAATTTCCCAAAATTAAATAAAGACATGCCCATACAAATAGAAGCAGCACATAGAACACCAAACAGACAGGAACAGAAGAGAAACTCTTCACGGCACATCATAGTAAAAACACTACACGTACAAAACAAAAAGACAATACTGAAAGCTGCAAAAGAGAAACAACAAGTCACATATAAAGGAAAATCCATTAGGATTACAGCTGACTTTCAGTGCAAACTATGTAAGCCAGAAGAGCCTGGACCAAAGCATTCCCAGTTTTAAATAACCAGGTGCCAACCCAGATTACTATACCCAGAAAATGTCTATTATAGTCGAAGGGGAAAGAAAAATCTTCCAAGACAAAAATAGGCTGGAGGAATTCATGTCCACAAAACCAGCCCTTCAGAGAGTTCTGGAAGCAATACACAGAGCTGAAGAAAGGAATGACTATACCCAAGGGGCTGTGGAAAGAAATCCAATGAAGGTATAACTTTGGGAAAGTACAGCTATATCAAGAATGTACAGAAACAAAAATGACAGGATTCAATACTCATCTTTCATTAATAACTTTAAATATTAACAGACTGAACTCCCCAGTCAAAAGACACAGACTATATGAATGGATTAAGAAACAAAACCCATCTTTTTGTTGTCTGCAAGAAACTCATCTCACTTTCAAGGACAGACACTATCTCAAAGTGAAAGGATGGAAAAAAAATATACCAAGCAAATCGCACTAAGAAAAAAGCAGGCGTAGCAATCCTAATATCTGACAAAATAGACTTTAAACTAAAACTAATCAGAAGAGATAAAGAGGGCCACTTCGTCCTGATCAAAGGAACAATGAATCAAGAAGATATTACAATCATGACCATATATTCACCAAACTCTGGTTCACCCAACTTCATAAAAACAATACCACAGGACTTTAAGACCTATATTAACCCCAACTCATTAATAGTAGGTGACACCCACTGTCCACTGTCTCCATTACATAGGTCAACAGGGCAGAGAGTTAACAGACATCTGAGGTAAACAATACCATATATCAAATGGACTTAACAGACATCTACGGAGTATTCCACTCAAGCACCAAAGGACATACGTTCTACTCAGCACCCCATGGAACCTTCTCCAAAACTGACCATGTACTGGGGCACAAAACAAACTTCAACAAATACAAAAAGACTGAAATAATTCCATGCATTCTAACAGACCACAGTGTGATAAAGATAACAACACCCAAAGAAGCCCTAATCACATGAACACATGGAGATTAAACAACACTCCTCAATGATCAAAGGGTCAAAAGAGAAATTAAGAAATAAAAGGATTCCTGGAACTAAATGAAAAGGACAATACAACACAACAAAACCTCTGGGACATGTTGAAAGTGGTCCTTAGAGGAAAGGTTACAGCTCTAAGTGCCTACATCAGAAAGAACACAAATAAATGACTTAACGTTGCAACTCAACACACTTGAAAAGCAACAGCAAACGAAACCCAAACCCAGCAGACAAGAAGAAATAACAAAAATCAGGGCAGAAATTAATGAAATTGAAACAAAGAAAACAATACAAAGAATCAACAATTCCAGGAGCTGGTTCTTTGAAAAGATAAACAAGATTGACAGACCACTAGCCCAGTTAACCAAAAGAAAGAAAGAGCACCTCCAAATCAACAAATCAGAGATGAAAGGGGAAACATCACAAGAGACACCAGAAAGATCCAGAACATAATAAGGGAATACTTTAAAAACCTGTATGTTACTAAATTTGAAAACCTAAAAGAAATGGACGGATATCTAAAGGCATGGGAACCACCAAAACTAAACCAAAAAGAGATCAACAGCTTAAACAGACCCATAAAAACAAAAAAATTGAAACAGTAATAAAAAAACCACCCGACTTAAAAAAGCCAAGGACCACATGGATTTACAGCAAAATTCTATCAGACACTTAAAGAAGATCTGCATCTAATACCTAATTTATTCAAAAAGATAGAAATGGAGGGGGAACTTGCAAATTCCTTCTATGAAGCCAGCATCACTCTAATACCAAAGCCAGGTAAAGATACAACCAAA